TTCGGCAGAGCACCTGTAGGTCACTTCCGGTTTTCTGCTCGCAGGGCCCTGTTGGCTGCGAAGGCACGTTGCTGCTACTTTCTGACCGACGGCCCTCTCTGCCTGATGGCAGCGGCCAGGGCCTCCAGAGTCCTGCTGGGTTTCCCTCATGAGAGGAGATGGCTGTATTTCAGACCGCTGTCTGGGGAAAGGGCTTTGCCAGCTGATTCGGAACCCCTGAAAATCAATTCCACACATGGGGGCCTCGCCAGAATCTCTGCCAGCTCATCTGACCGTCCAGGACGGAGTTGGTCGAACTACCCGGGAGTCTGCCTTCCCATCAGCTGTCTGCGCCTGACGCACATGGGTTGTGCTCAGACCCCGTGGTGGTGCCGTCTGTGGCCTCCGCTGTGTCAGCAGAGACCCACCAGACCTGTCTCCTCCGTGGAAGCCAATTTCCTTGCCCCCACTGTTCTTCTTCACCACTTGCTTTGCCTTTGTGGAGGTTTATTTCTTCCTGCATGTTTTAGGATTAGGCTATGGAGTTCCTCAGTACGCCGATAGGGGTTCTGATAAGGCTGTCACTGAACTTACAGGTTTAACTTGAGGCAACTCGCATCTTTTTATTCTTATCAACCCATTCAAGGTCATGAAATGCTTTTATTAAACTTTTTTTTTCCCTCCACAGAGGACTTGAATGATCTTGGTTAAAGTTTAATATCCTTTATAGCTTTCCTGCTTTTGTGAATACTATCTCATTTTTTCTCTCACATTTTCTAAAAAGTTAAGGCTGGTGTAGAAAAATGCCCTGGGTTCTGTGCCTCGACTTCTGACTCAGCGGTCCTGCTGCGCTGATGTTTGAATCGCTGACAGATTCCAGGTGGCTGGAGGGCCTGCCCCCGCACCCCTGTTCTCTCCAGTCACCCGGGACTCCCGCTTGTGTTAACCCTTGTGGTGTTTGTGGCTGTCCTCATGTTATTTCTGATCTTACGTGGAATTCACGTCGTATTTCTGAATCAGTGTATGTTTGCTGCAGGGTGTGACATGCAGCCTTTTCCAAGTTAAGAGACTTTCTGCCTCTTCGGATTTGCTAAGGATTTTCAAAAAATTAATAGCTATTTGTTTGTTCAGGAAGTTTTTACTGCACTGCTGTTTCTGTGCTCAGGGTGTAGTGGTGCACACAGACAGAGCCCTGCAGACCCCACCGTCCAGGGGTCAGAGCAGTGAAGACGGGCGGAGTCGTGGCAGGTGATAACCCTGGAAACCTGGAGAGGGGTGGTGAGAGGAGCAGTCTGGAGTGTGACCAGAGCCCCCTCCGCCCCCGCGCCAGAAGTGCGGGTCTTCTGCTGTAGTCTGCAGCGAGGCCCCGAGTACCGTCCTGCTGCTGACGCCAAGGCGCATCCCACTCTTGGGGGTCTTGGAGGGGCGGGGCCTCCCAGAGCCAGGGCTTCGTACCAGGCTGAGAGCTCCACCCGTTTTCTTCACGTCTGTCTTGTGAAGCTGCTTCCAAGGCCTCGTTTCTCATCTCTGAATCCTCCCCACTTCTGTTTTCCAGCCGTGAATTTGTTCCTGGAGCTTATGTACATCTGTGTAATGTGTTTTGCAGTCTTTTAAAAATTAGTTCACCGGAGAAGTGGGTGGAGGCAGGAATGCGGCCTGAGCTCAGGGTGGACCACCCTCGGGATGGGGTCCCCCCTCAACTCACTCACTGTCGGGATGACATCCAGGACGTCTCTTTATGTTTAGGCTGTCTGAGCCTAGATGTTTGTCGGTGAAATGAAATGGTTTTTCTTTAGGCAGTGTTCCTGGGCACCGGTGTTGGTGGGGCTCGGGGGAACCGCTAACGTGTCTCCTCTGTCCACAGAGACTCCTATGGCGGCGGACGAGGGCTCAGCTGAGAAGCAGGGTGGGGAGGCCCACGCGGCTGCGGACGGCGAGGCCAATGGGTCCTGTGACAAGAGCGATGCCAACAGTCACCCAAACGCAGTGAAGCTCACTCAGGAAGGCACGAAAGTCGGCCCCCAGGAAGGTGCCAGCCCGGCGGCTCGAATCGCGGAAAATGGGATTTCAGACAGAGACCCTGAGCTGGGGAAGCCCAACCACGTTCGCGCCGACGGCTTTGCTCAGACCTCCAGCGTTGGCAGCAACGGCTACTTCCTTGGCAAGGCCTCCCTGTCGGAGCAGTCGCTGCGGGGCACCAGCACCTTGGCCTCCTCCCTTCCCGGGCACGCGGCGAAGACCCTTCCCGGCGGGCCAGCAAAGGGAGGACTCCCAGCGCCTTTTGTCAGCCGCCAGCCGCGGCGCCGGCTCCGCTCGGGGAGGGGAGCAAGGAGGCGGAGGACAGGGGGGGCTCCGGCCCCAGGCGCCGACGTCAAGGTGCACCGGGCACGGAAGACCATGCCGAAGTCCAGTCTGGGCCTGGTAATGCGCCGCCCGGGGTGGGGCCGCGCTCGGTCGGTCTGGCTGTCTGTCTGTCTGTCCTCCCTTTCGTTCTGCTGTAAGGACAGGGGACTTCTGTGCGCTGATCGGAGGCCTTGAGTGCTGCTCTCAAAGGGGCCCCTCGCCCGCCCCCCGCCGCCCTGCTCTGCTGAGGCCTCGGCGCCTGTCCTCCCGCTGGCCCCAGGGCAGGCATGGCTCCCCTACTTCTGGGCTTTGCAATCAGATGCCCGAGGTCAGAGGTCGGAGGGCACGTCCCCTCCGCTCTCCTGGAGGACATGGACGTTCTGTCTCCCCAGACACTCCTGCCTGATTTCCAGCCTCCCAGCCTGTTCTTTAGCATTCAGTCTTGCTGCCCATTCCGTATATTGATAGTTTTATTTTTGACAGTTATTTTTTTCGTATCTAATGCTTTTGGTTAGTTTTTTTAATTAAAAAAATCTGTGTGCTTAGGTAAGTTTTTGTCTTGCCCTCCAGAAGACATTACTGACAGCCCTCCTGTGTCTCTGTTAAACCTATTTCCTCAAGTGGGAGTTCTGCTGGACTCGGCGCTGCTTGTCCATGGTGGTTTTCCCCCCAGATGACTTCCCCCCGGCTTATGCGCATTTTTATTTCTGTGATTTTGTATTGCCTGGCTGTAGCGCCGTGGAGCTGGAATGCTGGCCGCTGCCCACACACCTGGGGCCCCATAGCCTGCTCACCTGGGCGGGGCCCCGACCCCCCGTCCCACTGTGCGGCTTGGCCCCTCAGCCTGGCCTGCCCTGGCCTGCCCACCACCTTTTGCAGTGTTCTGTACGTGCCGGACATCAAAACTTGTTAATAGTGGTGAATTCACAGGAAGCCACACAGGCAGTACAGAGAGACCCCACATGCCCTCCACCCGCTGTCCCTCTCAGGTAACCTTGTACATACCGAGGGCACAGTGTGGGCTTACGTGCCCTCCAGCTCCACAGGGCTCCCCTCAGCAGTCTCCCCACCCACCCTGACCCTGTCCTCAGCTCCACCTACTCTGGGTCCTGAAGAGTTCCTCCAGCTTTTATAAAGGTCTTCGGTTTTACGGGAACTTTAAAGCATGATCCATCGTGAGTTTTTCTATTAGATAGGAGACTTAGGGTGAAATTCATTGTTTTCTTGCGAGTTTTTGGCCCACCACTATCAAAATGCACATTAAAAAATTTGCATTATTTATCTCCTTGAAATTATACTTCTATTCCATCCCCACTTCAGAATTTTATTCTAATATACTTTTATTTTTGAGGACTTTTTTTATTGTTACCCTGTCACAGTCCTCTAGGGGGAAAAAAACAATTTGAAATTTAATTTCAGGAAATTTCTCTGACCCTGAGGTTCGTTTAAGGGTTGATTTGTTCCGGATTGAGTTATTGTAATTATTAGTAGCACGCAGTTGATTGCAACATGTCATTTTGTTGGAAGTTATTGAACATTCTCAGGTGGTCAGTTGCAGGGAAAGAGAACAGAAGGACTTTGAGGCTTTGGAACCTTCCTGCTTCGCACCCTGGAACTTCAACTGCTCCTGGGACCCTGTGGGAGGAGGGAGGAATCCACGACGTGGAGACCCGGTGCCCTCCCGGCTCCCAGCCCTGGGTTCCTGCCCCGGTCTCGCCTGCCCTCAGGCTTCCTGCTCCCAGGCCCAGTTCAGTCTTGTTTGGTTTTCTTAGGAAACCATGTTTTATTGAAAATTGTGTTTCGAAAACAGTCATTCCTATGATTGAATGAGTGTTGCATGCTTGTGATAACAAACCCATTTTCCTTTGAGAGCTTAAACTTGCAGGTGTTCTCACAGCCTTGTGGTCTCACACCCCTGGGCAGTGCAGAGGCACTGCCCCTGCATGCCCAGCGTCAGGCCCACCAGAAGGCGCCAGCACAGGGCTAGACTCATCTGCTGTTCGGGCCAAGACGGTGGAAACTCCTGGAAGGAAACCTTTGTTTCTGCATTGGACTGCCCGTGCTGTAGACCCGTCTCCCCAGCTGAATTGTGCTCACACCCTCCCTGGCTCCTTGCTCAAGGAAAAAAAGATGTGCTCCTGCCCTGAGCGCGCAGTCTGGTGGGGGAAGTGCTCTTCATGCAGTGGTTGTGCAGACCTGGGCCAGCCGCAGCTCGAATTAAGTGTCTGCAAGGAGGTGCAGCTGGGCTGTGAGAACTCGCACTCAGTGGACTGGGTGCGCTTGTGCACCGGGTGCTGAGCACCCAGCAGGCCTGACGGCAGCCGGGGTGAGGCGGGGAGCTGGTGGGCGAGGGGAGGCCAGCAAGGGCCAGACCCTGTTGACCACAGGCATCTTGGTCGCAGGCAGTGATGTGGACACCCTGCTCTGCAGCCTGCACTGTGGCGGTCCTCTTCTGCATGGGGGCATGCCCGGGGCTGTGTGGGGTTCCCCAGGTGAAGCCAACACCGGCTTCTCTTGCCTCGGCAGGAGTCTGCTCTGTCTCTTTTGTCTTTTTGCTTTGCCAGGTGAACAGAGCCCTAACAAAATCTGAAGTCTTCCCTCAAGTTCAGCAGTTCTTAATTTTTTTTTTTTAGTATTTTCAAAAATAACACTTTAAATCAAAGAATGGGTTTTGTGCCATGAGGGAGAATTAGCCTCAGGTCCTCAGACTCAAGTTTTGCCCCCATTTCTGTGCCCTTCTGACTCGCGTCCTGCGTTTGTCTGTGAGAGCTTGGCGAGGTTGGTGGCCACTTGGTGTGCAAGGTAGTTGCTGGGGGACATGAAGAAGCAACACATTGGGTTCCCTTGTTCAGGCAGTGATCTTGCTAAGAGACAGGCCTGATGAATTGCAGAACTAACTGGTTACAGGGCAGGTTAACTGTGGAGTCACGGAGGAGCCTGCAGTTAGAGCTGTGCTTGGAGGAGGGGAGAGGGCTTTGATGCAGGTGGAGGAGCTGTGTCCAGGGCCCCGGGCAGGAGGAGCCCAGGTGAGGGGTTTCTGGCGGGCAGAGTGTGGGTCACCGGGAGAAGACCACAGACGGCTCGGCCGTGTCAGCCCCTAGGCAGTCCTATTGGCAGGAGGAGCTGTCTCCCCGAGGGTGACTCCAGGAGATGGGGATGCCTTTTAAGAAAATTGTATTAAAATACACATAACGTAAAATTTAGCATCTTAACCATTTTTCAGTGTCTGGTTCTCTGGTGTTAATTCAGTTTACATTGTTGTGCAGCCATCACCACCATCATCTCCAGGACTTTCTCATCATCCCAAACTGAAACTCAGTCCCCACTGAAGACTAACCCCACCTCCCCTCCCCAGCTCCCGGCCCTGCCTCTGCTTCCCGTCTCTGCATTGACTGCTCTCATTCCCTCACACGAGTGGAATCACATAAGATTTGTCTTTTTGTATCTGGCTTATTTCACTCAGCACCATGTCCTCGAGACACATCCCTATTGTAGCTGGTCTCAGAATTTCCTTCCTATTAAAGGCTGAAAAATATTGCATTGCATACACACACACGTATATACATGGATACACATGTGTATACACACGTACACATACATGTATACGCACAAACATGCACACATAGTGCACAAACATGCGCACAGTACACACGGTTACATAGATACATGTATACACAAAGACATGCACATGTAT